CATGTAGTTGTCAGTTTAATTTGAAAGCTTCATGCCTTCTGGTTCATTCCAGTTGTGGCAAGTAAACTGACATTTACTGAGCCATTGGCCTTTTAACCCTGGGCAGTATTACAGGCTTTCTTTGTTATTCTGTATTAAGCCATTAGGAGCTAGGCAGATGATTCTTGAGCTTTATGGAGATAAATTGTTACTCAAGATCCTGTAGGTAGGTAGTGACCTTTGAAACTAGGCTCTTTGAAGTTGACTGCTTTCTAGTCTATTCTACCTGTACATCTCTGGTAGCCTGCACTTATCTCCTTTACAGAATCACAAAACCTGGTGGTAGGTAGTCAGAGCTGTTTCTATGACTGGGGGGTGAAAAAGCAAACCTCCAGTATTCCTATTATTTTCATTGTTTTTGATAGGTTGCACAAAGGTGATTATTATTTAGGTAGTCAGGTTTTTGAAGGTCTCTGTATAATCTATAACACTTACATTACTAGTTGGTATTGTGAATATTTTTCATTTGATCAGTGTAGGAGCAGGGCTCATTAAGTCTACCGTTGGTAGTGCTAGACTGGACTTCTTCAGTTTCAGAGTGAGTGCTTATAAACTGACCCCAAAGCTAAAGATGGTTGTTTGGTCACTTCTGGGCTGACCATATTCAACTCTTTGTTAACCCACATATGTCAATGAATTTATTATGATGTGGAACCTGACTGAGTTCAAGGATCATTTTCCTGTTCCCTGTTTGGTTTTTATGACAGATGACTTTTCTTTTTTGATAGTGACCATACATCCTGAATTTTATAGATTGTTCTAAACTGATATGCTGATTTGGTAGATAAATAACGTAGTCACCTAGATGGCAGGAGAGAGAATTGATCATCATAGCCAATTAAATTTTTGGTAATCATGTTTTCATTTCACTAAAGGAATTTATAGCTGATTTAAATTAGGTCTTAAAAAACTCTTTCTAGTTGAGCAAACACAACAGATATTTATATGTACTTTTTCTCTTTGAAATTAATTCTTCAATTCCTACAAATACATGACATAGTATCAATTGCATTCTAATTCTGTGCAAAACTGTTAATAAAA